CGTCAAAGTAATGGGGCGCGTAGGCACGGTGCTGACGCATCACGTGAGCCACTACTCGGTTGAATGTTGCCGGAGCATTTTTCAACCCTTGTGGCATCACAAGCCACTCCCACAGCATACCGCTTGGGGTGCTTACTGCCGTTTTGGCTACATCGGTATCTCTCATGAGAACCTGATAGTAGCCATCCTTCAGATCCAACGCGGAAAAGATAGTTGACTTTCCCATGGAATTCAACAAAACATATTTCCGCGGGATCGGCGTTTGAGCCGGAATGGTGGCGTGTTCAGCTTATTTTAAGCATGAGCGAAGAACTTAAAGATGCAATTGACCTATTCGTTCGGCAACGGCCATTGACTGGTCACACAATACTTGGTGCCAGGCTCCAGGTCAATTTCGTGCCTGATGCCCCTATCGGCCGGTAGGCGGCTCGGCACTTCTGCTGGAAACACATCACGGTGTTTCCACAGAATATCATAGAACGGGCTGTCCTTCAAGGCATACCAGCCTTGAGCAGCAAACCGTTTCTTCTTAACGGTCTCCAAGACGCTCTCATCCATTGTGGATGACGAGCAACAGTCCACCACGTTCTCTTCTGGAACTGGTGCGACTATCTCGTGGATCTTTCGTTCCTTTAGTTCGGACAGGAACAGATCCCACGTCATCTCCGAGAGATTTACTATCTCCTCGGCAGATGCCAAGACAAGTTGGAGCACCTCAACTGAGGATGCCTCCGGCATTTTGTCTTCGACGGCCTCGAACAACTCGCTCGTAGGTCCGTCCTCTTGGACCGAGACTGATCCAAGGGTCACTCGTTTCGACGTGCCCTTGATCGTCTTAATACGTCTGGTGCTCGTTCTTCGAGTCACCACGACCTTTGACCTGGAAGAAGGTGTCGTTACTATCTCAGCCAACGCACTTCTTCCAATCGCACCAGGCTCATGGCTCTGTGTCGGTTCGTGTGGCGCTTGACTTCCTTTCAGCCCACTATCAATTGCCACAGGCTCTCGGCTCTGTGCAGGACTATTGGACGCATGACTACCTGCCATCGCCGCATTCGCTACACTAGTCTTTTCGACTGGGGTAGGAATATGTGTCACCTGGATTTCCGCCAGTGCACTTCCAACTACACCACTCTTTTCGAGCTGGGTAGTTCCTGGTGTCGATTGACATACCGTCATCGCACCCTCGACTATGTTGGACACAGCATCAGCCACATAAGACTCTCGCAAGAGCACATCCTTTCCGGTGTCTTGCGTAGAGTTAGCAAATGTGCTTGTACGCCAGTCTATCCATGGTTGGTGTTTAGCCAACCAAGGCATGCCTAGGATGAGGTCATACGAACTTGCCATACCTAAGCACTGTGAACTACTCTTTACAAAAGAATTCACTGAAACTGAAGGCGAGTTCAACGTAAACTCCCTCCGATTTAATCAGCGAATTGTTCGCTAAACGAACGGTCGCCTCTTCTCGCTTGCCATACTGGCGAAGCAACTCGATTTGCCGGAATCTTTTTCAGACCCGCGAGTTTCGCAAAGTTTTGTGATGCACCCGAATCCACGAGAAGGGTCATCACTTGGTCATAGCCTCGTACTCCAGCGCTATAGACCAAAAGGGTTGAGGTCCGACCTTTCGAAACCTCAGGGACTATGCTACCCATTTGTTCGATCACTCTGAACTTAGGGGTAGATTCAGAGTCCGCGACAGTAGGGCATCCCGCCTCTACTGCGCTCCCACATTTCCCGACCCATCTTGAGCAGGTGCTGAGCTTGTGCCTCGTGCACGCTGGTTTGTCGCACCTCCCTTCGGGTTGGGAGACCTTTTGCTGGCTGCCTTAGCACGAGCAGCTACCTTGGCATAGCAGCGAGCCATCATATGGCCTCGCTTGCCGCACTTGTAGCAGATCACATCTGCATTGCCTAACTCCATAGGAGTGACATCAGATCTTTCGGTCGACGGTCTGTAATAGGCTGTCGCCGAGGCGCTGTTGTAGGGTTGCTCCTCAACTAAGGCAATGTCAATTTCCTCTTCCATCGTCGCTGGCACCTTTCTGAAAAGGGCCTGACGCGATGGGCAGTGCCTAAGTCCATTCATGAACGTGGCCACCTTGATACGCTCTGGTATCGGTTCCCCATTAATGGACGCCGACAGCGAACGCATCTCCTGCACAAATTCTTGCAGAGAACGTTTCGCCTGTCGTGCTCAGTAGAAGCGCACCATAAGCAACACTTCGTTGTTAGGCGGCTGATACATGGTGCGAATCTTTGCCTTGAAGATCGCCTATAATGGAAACGCATCAGCATTTTCCATCAGCGCAGAGTATGCCCACTCTGACGCTTTGCCACGCAAGTTGGACATGGCATACGACACCATTCTGGTGTCGTCTTCGATGAGCTGCGCCACTCCACCTTACTCAACTGCTAATAGCCAGTGAACAATCGTGTGAGGGCTAGTTCCATCGAACTTCCGAGGGTCCATCCGAATGGGTCTCGGTTGAGCAGGCCGGGCAGAGAGCGTTTCAACAGTTCTGTTAAGCGCCTCATTACGTGCCTGCTCAAGCCTAAGCTCATCCTGAGTCTTAGTGATGGACTCAGCGGTGGCTTAACTGTTTACCTCGGACGCATTTCTACGCTGTCCGAGCACAAACGCCTCGGATTGCTTCAACTGAGCGACATGTTGCTCAGGAGGACAATGCAAGAGATTGACCAGGGCTTGTTCACCAAGTCCCTGCGCCATATGCTCTGCCAACTCCCTATGATGTTGGGAGAGGTGAGGGAAGTCATATTAAGGACCCTGTCAACCACACGCACGCTCAGAGAGACGGTCGTGTGAAGGACTACTAGTGCTACCAAGTGTAGACGGGCACTTCTACGAAGTTGCCTCGTGCTACTTAGCACACACCTTCAGCACAAGCGAGGAAGCGGTTAGAACGTCTTACCTCCGCGTGCGAGGGTGCAACGAACTTCTTTACAAGAAGGCACCGACGACACGCAGAAGCTTTTCAACTTCTCGTGCGTGGTGCGTTTGTTTAAGTAAATTCAAGACTGAGCTATATTTAATTAATTGTAACTAAATATAAACTTCACTACTGATTGGCTATATATGTAATAGATCGGATACGCGACTCTTTAGAAGCGTATCCTGTCGCATGATCTTAAATCTAGATTCAAGCTTGCGAATGACGTCCTTCTGAGACGTCGCGATGACTAGCTTCAACTAGCGTCATCCCTTCTCATGTGAATCCATCAATGGATATCACATTCACGAGGGTGGATCACATTTGTGTATCGCACCCAAGTGACAGGTCTAAAGTAATCATGGATACTTTAAGACCTTTACATTGTGTATATTACTTAATGTTTACGTGTAACTAGTTGCCCTGTTACAGTCGGAGGGTGCTCCATTACATTTTACGTGTTTCTCCGTTAAGCGCTTCTACACATTTGATTATGTCACGAGCCACTTCAGCAGCCTCGCGAACACGGCGAACAGCTGACGTAGGCTGTGGTAACACGCGCAGTTTCTGACTGATATCGGCCACAAACTCAATCCAAAAGTTGTGTTCCAAAAGTTGGAGGCGCGAAGGTACGGCTCGCACGATAATGTCGCTCGAATCGGGATGATATGGTCTGAAGAATGAGCCACTACCACCACATGGAAGCACTAGATTATGGCGGCGAGTGCCGTACATATGTATATAATTTCATCATTGTAAAGTGCACCACAAAATACCACCAAAATGTAACGTCCTGGGTCTTTAGTAACTTGCTTCAACTTTTCCTTAAATTTACAATAAATTCAAGGGAGTGCTGATGATCTCGCGTCTTAGCCTACCTTCCTACAATTATCGACATCTCCTTGATCAGATTGCCTAATGGGAACGAATTTACTTAAACGTCACAATTTTTATCATTTTTGCAATTCTAATCTAGTGCTTCTACATTTACTGCTCTGATGCTGTTGCTGCTGGGGATGCTGCTAGATGCGCGGTGACGACAGGTTAAGGCTTTGTGGCCTTTCTGCCACGACAATGATAGTAGTGACAAGATTGTCGAAGTTTCTAATTACAACTGTCTGCTCGTTCGCAAAAGGACGCCAGGAAATTGGTCACAAACCTGGCGACAACTGTGGACCTGAAGGTTGGATGTGGGGTATCGTATGCCCACAGTTAATATGATGACTCAAATTCGTTAGCAGAGCAGTCCTAACAAAAGATATTTACTTTCATTGTAGCAAGAAGTCAGCCATCGTGAACACTCCTCTGCAAGCCACGAGCGTGTCAGTATTGAATATTATTATTAAGCCTACGTGCCGCAAAGTAACCATCTGCTGGCACGAATCGACTGCTTCTAGCAACTAAGAGCTTTTACATCGCAAAAAGACATATGCGCATAGATCCCTACGCATTTAAGCAAGCTGACCTATCACCATTCCAAAAGAAACCTTTTGAGTATCGACACGAATTAAAGCTTTGACATTACTGTCTATTTTTTGCCAATTTTTCTTGTACTTTTGACTGCAACAAGATAATTCGCTTCGGCATAAATTGCGGTTCATGTACGTTTAAGCTGGCATATGCAAGCTGCGGAGGTGGTGCAAGGCTATTTGTGGCTTTAATGGAGCAGAAAGTTCTTATTATTATCGACGTCGGGGGTGCAAAATATTGTGAAAAGTCATAATAAATATTTTTGGGCTGATTAACTAGAAGGTGTGGGACATTTAGCGCTCCCTTAGATTATTTATATTTGTTCATATTTGTCAGATTATCGCAATATGCAGCATTTTACATCTTATAATTGGCATTTGTAGGCCGCCGACACATATTGTCAATCAAGACAATGCCCTTACCCCATCATCCTAATTGGCTGAGCCTGCAAAGGATTTGACAGTAGGTATAACTATGTTACGATCTCTTATTGGTCTACTATTACATATTGAGGTCAATTTTGTTAGCGCTGCTGGAATTTTCATCATATTCGTCCATACCCAAGTACTATTGAATATGACTTTGTATGTCGTCCAGGGCATAGCCTACTTCATTTCACATCCACGTCTATGGCTTGCGACATTGTGTCCTCTTGTCCTGACACTTTTAGTAGCCATTATCACCGTTGTCATGCTTTTCGCAGTAGCTCTTTACCCTCAAGCTAAAGGACTGGAAGAAGCAGGTGTCGTCCTGTGGCTTTCGTGGATATTAGGTGTCATGATTGTGCTCGTCGAGATCTTCCTTGTCACTTTTATCTTCAACTCGCTCATCATGGGCTGCTATGAGGACAAGATTTTTGAGCAGGTGATAGTAGCACGCGGCTGTAAGGAACTAGTAGAGAACGAAGAACGACATGCTGGAATTTTGCGGAAGTGTCGCTCCTGCTGTCGTGTAAGTCTTTGGATGAAACTTGGACTTCTTCTAATAACGCTACCACTTAACTTACTTCCAATTATTGGATCTATCCTGTACGCGTGGTTAAACGGCACCATTGTCGCCTGGGAGTCTCATCTTCTCTACTTTGAGTTTAAAAACTTTTCGTATGGACAGCAGCGAGCTTTTGTCAACAACCACAAAGTGCAGTACTCGTCATTTGGCATGCAGGCGTTGCTTATGGAGATGATTCCCGGCGTCGGTTTACTCTCTGTATTTACAAACGCAGTGGGGGCGGCACTGTTTGCTGCTCAATTGAAAGAGGAGGAAAAAGAACGCATGCAAATGCAACAAGGTGGAATGCAGGCGAGCTGGAACAATACTACAACATGACATACATCGACAGCTACGTACCGTATTGACTGAAACTTTGCTACATGCTAATAGAATAAGATAATACACAATAGCTGTTTTTTTCACTTACTCAACTGATCGACTTGATTTATGTCAGTTCTCAATTTATCAGCGCATCATGTCGACGTATGTAGCACAGGGACTTGCTTACTTCTTGGCGCATCCTTCGCTATGGCGATTGACTCTTTGCCCCATTCTATTGACGATATTTGTGGGAATGACCACGATTATTGTGCTGTTTGCTGCTGCAATGCACCCGCAGGAGCAAGGACTCTACAATGCTGGCGTGTCGGAAGGTCTGTCGTGGGCATTGGCCGTCATGTTGTGTCTCGTAGAGAGCTTCGTGATTGTCATGCTCTTCAGTTTAATCTGTCTTGCTTGCTACCAGGACAAAGTGTTTGAGTTCGTCATGCGCCAACAAGGCCACGAGCAGCTCATGAATAGCAAGCGAACCCACGCATCGTGCCTCCGCCTCTGCTCAAGTTGCTGTCGTATCAGCGTGTTATTCCGTCTAGGCCTCTTGGTGGTCACTATGCCACTAAATGTAGTGCCTGTAGTTGGCAATGCAATGTACGCGTGGCTTAATGGAACGATTGTAGCTTGGGAGTACCATTTCTTCTACTTTGAGCGTAAGAACTACAGCTTTAAGCAGCAGCAGGCACTCATTAACGAGCGCAGTCTTCAATATTCACTCTTTGGAATGCAAGCGTTGCTATTAGAGATGATCCCAGGTATTGGTGCCGTCTGTATGTTTACCAATACAGCTGGTGCCGCTCTCTTTGCTTCTAACATTGAAAAAGAAGATACTGCCAAGAATTCTCAACAGGCCGATTTTTACCACTCGCTAATGTAAATCTGGTAATTCAATTTGAAAAATAGGAAGGGGATACCACTTTTCCTCTTTTATATAAATAAATCATCGTGTCCAAAAAGAATGTCGACTTATCCGCTACGTGGGGTCCTCTACTTCTTAAGAGACAAACATCTCTGGCGCTTAACCATATGTCCAGTGTTGCTGACAATCGCTGTGGCAATTGGTGTAGCTGTCACGCTTTTTACCTTCACATTGCATTGGCAGGAAAAGACGCTGTACGATTTTGGTCTCTCGAGCTTCTTTGCGTGGCTAATAGCTGTTAGTTTTGTGATTATTGAAGTGTTTATCGTCACTGTCATTTACGGACTTGTTGCTTTGGAGTGGTTTAAGGACAAAATCTTTGCTTACGTTCTGATACAGCGAGGATATCGTGAGTTAGTGGAAAATGAGGAGCGCCACTCGCCGTTTTTTCGGGTAATTACGTCCTGCTGCCGTGTCAGTGTTCTACTACGTCTAGGACTGCTTATTCTGACACTGCCGCTAAATATGGTCCCAGTGCTAGGAAATGTCACGTACGCGTGGCTAAACGGCACGCTTCTGGCCTGGGAATCTCATTTGTACTACTTTGAGATGAAAGCTTTCGACTTTGACCAGCAAAAGGAGATCATTGCTAAACGCAAGTTCCAATACTCGGCATTTGGCATGCAAGCCGTGCTGTTGGAGATGATTCCGGTTGCTGGGGCATTTTTCATGTTTACCAATGCTGCGGGTGCTGCGTTGTTTGCTGCGAGCATTGAGAAGGATTTAGAGATGCACGGGCGTCAGAAAAAGTCGTACGGGCTTGGCAATGATCATGTAGTAAAGAAGAGTCAGGAGAAGACCAAGAAAAGTCAGGAGAATACTAAGAAGATGGATACGGCACCGCTCGTGAACAAAGGCAGTTCGTATGTGCCGCCGTATGGCAGTAACTAGCGGATGCAACATATTTTGATGCTGCTCCTTTCATAGTGCGCCTAAGCAGCTAGGGATTCGCCTGACAATAGAAGAGGGGGTATATTTCGAATCGCTGCATCTAGATTAAGCTCTGCTTTTTGCTACAGGCAGAGCTGACCGACCATCCAATCAATATATTTTGTGCAGTTGACATGCCATCTTTGCGTCCTTCTTTAAGTTGTTACAAAAAAAACGAACGAGTTCAACCTCATTGTGTGCATTTGCATTTTATTGCGCAGTTAATTATGGTGTGGAGGCTATCTTGGTCGTCTGAAATGACTAGAAACTTCCATCTATTAATAATCTTTTTGATTTCGTGCACTAGCAAAAATTCGGCAATTGTGTCGACTTATTAACCCAAACGATTTTCTAGCAAACACTACAATCAAAAGTCGGTTCATACTGGATCTATATTGATTTTAATGTGCGCCATAGTGGCTAATTCTTCTGGTATGAAAACTCCACATTTTTTTGTCAAACGGTTTTGCCATCGTCTGTCATCCCTCTATTTAGCAGGTCTACGACTTCAAAACTGCTTACAAACCATTTCATCACTGTACAAGAGTATCCGCTCCTCTTTACTATGCAGAAAATGTCGCAGCATTAGAAGTCCAATAGACGCTACAAGTAGAAGGAAGAAAAGTCAAACTAATGCCGCTGACTGTAAGATGCCTCCACGCCGGTGTCGGTGTTTCTTGAATTATTACGAGTTGAATATCTGCCCTCACATCTTTACTTCAATGGGGCGCTTGTCTACTCTTTAATCAATATGTAGACAGCATGAATGACACCGGGGACATACCTGAAAAAAATAGAACAAATCAGTTACATGTGTCTAAAGCGACAGGGGTACGCTGCTTCCTTACCCCAACACAGTGAGCAAACAGTTAATGGCAAGGTCTTTGGTGCAGCCGACCTGGAAGAATACGCCAACTGGTGGGATGATGACTGAACAGATCAGGCGAGGAATATCTCCGCAGGTAATAGGCATCTTGATGTAAGCTTGACTGGAACAAAGGAAATTCGTAACTGAACACTTGGAACCGGTGCGGCTTCGACGTGGGTGAGGAAGAATGCGGCTCTTTTCTATCCGTTTTGCAAGCAAAATCTTGGGAACGGATGGATAGAGCAGCTGCAAATAGAGCGTAAATAATTGGTGGAATTTCGAGTAAAACCAAATTAGCCAATCCATAATCGGAAAGGTACTTTGTCACACGGAAGTTTCGAGCGCAACGATAACGCTTCGCGAGGCTCGCGATAAAGAATGTTACGATAATTTTAATTGGAGTCATGTCGATCAGCGACACTTGCTGTCAAGAGAGACATCGCAAAGCTGTAACGGCGGGTAGTTGTCGATCTATTTGTCTAGCTATCGCATGATCTACGACAAAAATGGGACTATAATTCGACCGCATCGATTGGCCAGCACAAATCAGTGAACACTCAAAACAGATATTTTTGTTACTGGATAGTCGCAAGAGTATCGAACCGTTGCAAAAACTCGAACTGGAATTTTACTGCATTTAATGGATTGGGAAAAGCGTAAGGTTTATTTACATGTGTTGGCAGTTCGTTATAAAAACCAAAAACTGCCTTGTGCCATTCCCTCCAGGGACCACTCTTGATAGCAAGCAAAAAATCGTCGTTCTCTTCGTTAACCCATGTATCCCCACCCTCACGCTCCATCTAGAAGCGGCGCACTGCACATGTTAGAGAAGGTAAAGAGCGAGCCGACCAGAGGGATCATTTGTAGCAATAGACATTTGATAGCCAAAACTTGAATACTGGAGGCTGATCCAGCGCCCCTTATGGTCGTAGTAGTAAAGATATAATCCCCAGGCCATAAACGTGCTGTGCAGCCGCGAGACGATGCTACCGATCAGCGGGATCGAGTGTAGCGGCAAGAGACACAAAAAGTAGCAGATGACGTCAAGGTGGAAGAATTACGTCAAGACCGTCTACTCTTGGGTGTCGTTGTCCACCAGAGCTCCATGACTTCTTGTCATGGATTCATTTAAATGATGATGACGCCTCGATGACGACGCTTTAGTAGTCTCGCGACGGATGGGTCGAGCTGATACGATCGGTCGTCAAATTCGCTCACACGTCACAGGTTTTCAGTACAGTCTGTCGCTTTTGTTGATATATAATGCTCAGCATAAGTACTGCAACTTGTAGCTACTCACCCGCTGTCAGAAGCCGAGATCTTTGTTTGACGTAGAAAAAACAATGGCAGCGAAATGGCGTCAAGCATACTTTGAGACTCGAAGTTTGATGACCTCATCCTCACGGCTGCTGAACGGATCTCTTGACTTTTAGTATGGTACTTTATGCCTTGATTCTTCATCACGTAGGCAAAAAATCTTGTCCTAGAAGCTGTCAAGGAGATGCTGAGTAATTGGTACATAGACGGACTGAAAATGTGGCGATGGATCGCGTTGAGTCAAGTGCTAGCTTTGCGAGCGTTGCTGAATCATTTGCTCATGTTTATTCGCGAACGCGTGTGACGAAGGAAGAGAGGACGTGCTGAAAGCGGTGACAGTGCATTAGTAAATGTGATGTTAACACGAAGAAGACCCAGTCATGAGGCATTGCAGCAGCAATTTTCTAAAGAATCAAACTTGTCGCCATCTTGGAAAAAAGTAAACATGATTTACTTTTATTTGGTCACACTTTGAAAGCGATTTATCATTAATTCATGTTAATGCGACTATGCGTGACCTGATGATTAAATCTGATCTAGACTCTGGGAATTACACTCTTAGAGCTTGAACAAGTTGAAGCAAGGAAAATGGAGGCTTCTTGCGTCGCGTCCCGGACGGAATTTCCATCATCTTTTTTTAACTGTTAAGACTGCAATCGAAATTATTATAAAAGTGGCCTTTGACGTGTCAAGTCACTTTGAAACATTCAAAGCCATGGCGATTACTTGGGGAGACTGTCCACGTCTGATTTGCTCGATTTTACTGCCACCACTTGGTGTGTTCTTCCAAGTGGGTTGTAATAAGGACTTTGCCCTTAACTGCTTGCTCACTTTACTAGGGTACGTTGTACAACGAAAGTGGGTGGTTTGTGCCATGTGTTAATTGTGTGTTGCGATAGCTATATTCCTGGGATCATTCATGCCGTCTATATCCTTGTCAAGGAGTAGTGGACGATAGGAGAAGTTTGCTTGGATTTGTCCCAGGTAACGACGACTAGTAACGTGTATAGGAGGTTACTGCACAAAAGAATCTGGCTGCAACAAACGTGTAACCTTTTACCAGTTACCATCATTCCTTTGTTTCTGTTTCCATATCTTCGTTTGTGTTCATTTAATTTCGATTGTGTTTTAGTAAACAAGCGAATTTCAAAAAATACGCATTATTCAATTTAACCTCATTGTAATTCGCACTTCTATTCAATGGATGAACCATTAGTCTCGGGTGGTATCATGCTGCTCATTTGTTTGGGTGCTACAGTAATCATGCAATGTAGTTTCTTTATTGTAGCTTATACTTGTCAATTTGATAAAGTTACAGACTTGGCCGGTTCACTTAATTTTATTGTGCTTGCAGTGCTGTCATTAGTCTTACAAGATGTATTTGACACTCGCGCTATTGTAGTCACATGTATGCAAGTGACATGGGCAATACGTCTTGGATCTTTTCTCTTACTTCGTGTTCTCAAACGGGGGAAAGACGAACGCTTTGATAAGATGCGTGCCAATTGCATGGCATTTTTTGGGTTCTGGGTGTTTCAAATCTTGTGGGTCTTTTTAGTGTCACTACCAGTGGTGCTAGCGAACTCATGCGGTGGCCAAATCAACGGGAGATTCGGTAGGCCTCAAGACATTATCGGCATTGTAATATGGACGATTGGAATGGTGGTTGAATATGCCGCTGATGCTTCTAAATCAGCTTTTCATAATGAACCCAAGAACAAGGGCAAACTCTTGCATTCAGGTATATGGAAATACTCACGTCATCCCAATTATTTTGGGGAGATATTGTGCTGGATAGGGGTGACTATTATCGCCAGTGCCAACTTTGGTAGCAATGGGGGCGAGACGTGGTTCTACTATGTCAGTTGCATTAGTCCTACATTGACGTTTGTGCTGCTCATATATATCTCGGGTGTGCCGCTGGCTGAGGATCGCTACGATGAACGCTTTGGCTTGGATTCCAACTACCTCGAGTACAAACGCTCGACTAGTCCACTGATCATATTACCTCCTTCAATCTATCGCTCGATTCCGGCTCCGATCAAGCGCTGGTGCTTTTTCGAGCTCAAGAGATACTCGCGCAAACTACGAGAGCTACGCGATACTGAACACAAGACGTCACATACCAACTACCAGGCCATTTCATAATCGATAAGGTGTCGCTTTCGCTTAATTTAGTAGAGGGTGTGATCGAACAAAAGAGTAAATCAATTCATTTACCTAAGACACAAATTGCATAAAGTGAAAAAATGGCGACAAGTTTGATTCTCTGGGAAATTGTTGCTGCAATGCCTCATGACTCGGTCTTCATCTTCGTTCTAACATCACAATTATTACCGCACTGTCACCGCTCTCAGCACGTCCTCTCTTCCTTCATCTCACGCACTCGTCGTTTCATTCAATCAAATGATTCAGCAACGCTCGCAAAGCCAGCACTTGACTCATCGCGACCCATCGCCACATCCACCAGTCCGTCTATGGTACCAATCTACTAAGCCGGACCATATCAAGCCAATAGCTTACAGCTTCTCCAATTTGCTAAAGGCACCACCTCCGGGATTACGACGCGCCAATTCGACGCGGTCTGCCGTCTTGAAATCAAAGCTGCACTCGTGCTGGTCCTCAAATCGATGGCTACCACAGAATACATAGCCACAGCGACACTCGATGGCAGTGAGCCCCACCTTCTTCTTGCACTCCCAGCAACGCTTCTTGTTCTTTTGTACCGGTTTCTCTGCAGGTTTCTCCGTCTCCTTCTCCAACAACGTAATGTTGCTCTTCGTCGTCTCAATAGAAGACGTAATCGACTGGCACGAGGCCACATCATCTGCTTTTGTCTCTTCCGAGTGAGGAGACGCCACTGTCGTCGTCGTCGTCGTCGCTTGACGATCTGACATGGTCTTTTTCCAGCAAACAGAGCACATCCCACCGCTGCCTGGAACACCAAAGAAGCCGCAGCCATTTAGACACAACTCGGCACTCTCTCGTTCTTGCTGCATATTGTTTCAAAGTGGAAGAAAGTAACGAAATAAGAGAAAAAAACCTTCGCTACACTATCAAAAAGCGAATACGTGCTTTAGTGTCGCTCCGTTTACTTATTTTCCACCCCAAAAAATGATAAATGTTTTCTCTCTTTTTTTCTCTTCGGAGATGACCTTTCCATGTTACAGCCCAAAATAAACCGGAAAGAAGGAGCACCCTAAACCCAATGAAGGTCCAGTTCGTACTTAGTAAGTAAAGCAGAAAAGTTTTCAATTGGACGATAGCTGCCTTCTCTGTTAAAGTTAATATAGTAATGTCATATTTTGCTCATATATCTTTGATCTGATAATTTCAAATATTAAGAGGCGAAATACATCAGAAAAGTAGCAGCTATTGTGCACATCAGCTACTAAAAATAGTACGTTCTTATCCATCCACTCGAATTTGCGTAAAGAAGTATAAAAAGTAAGTAAAAGTACAATCAACTGGAATTCTTACTGATGTCGCGGGTAATAAGCAGGCCTCTTTAAATGCCAAATCTGTCTAATCTAAATATAGTAAAATGAAATATATAATGTACACCAAGCCGAGTCGAATTCTGTAGTGGCAGTATTGTGCTTGGGCTTGCTTTTCACGCGATAGAAATGCTTGGACAGACCATGACACAACCTGCGAAAGCGTGAAAAAAGGCTGCCGCCGCTCGCGATACGTCGTTTAACAACCAGCACAAGTTAAAATATGGTTTCAAAGCTGTCGGCAAGGACACTCAACCGATAAGATCGACCTCGTCGCCTGCTGATCATGCATCGCAAACGGTGTCGAGAAAAAAAACCGGCGCTAAACGGCAGATGACCATTTTCAAGAAGAAGTTTGGCCCGCAGTTCCGTCCGGTGAACTACTGGTCGCACCTCACTCTGCAGCATCCGTTCAAGTGGGCGGAATCAGCTTAAGTTCGGCTCTGACAAGTCGGACTTCTTTGACATTTGCTGTAACGGGGTTACACGACGGTTGTAGCACCTTTTCCGATAGTTTACGGTTGAAGTCCCCTTTTATTGCATATAATGCATTTTGATACTTCTCTTTAGAGAGGTATTAAGTATGAGCGTTAGAGATACGGTATTCGGTAATACCGTATCTTATCGATTGGGATTCGATAAATCACTAACGCTGTATTAAGTACATCATACACAGATGTTTAGACGATACGTCGTCCAATAGCAAAGTCTGCATATTATAATTACTATTATAGTAATTAATCTAGTGTAGTGTACTTAGAGTAGGACTATTCATAAAATCTTAAAGCATAAATACAATCAGTTCTCATTTTGAGTTTAAGATCACAAGTCATTCTGACTTGTTCTCTTGTGCACTTCATGCGTTGGTTCTCTGAACCTTTAAGCTTCTAGCTTGTTCTTGCACTCTGTGCTTTGGTTCTCTGAACCTTAAGCTTATTGCTTGCTGACTAAAAGTCTCTCCTACTTCCTTAGAACAAAGTGACTTTAAGTCGTTTAATTAGTTCCTAAGAACTAAGTAGCTTTTAACCTTAACTCTATTTAGTTCTCTTGAACTAAGAGGCTTTCAGCCTAAAGTCTTCCTCTGGCTAAAGATCTGTGCAGCTCCGCAACACTTGCTAACCCGTTTTTCTAATACCATCGTATCGTACATGGATCTGGAGGGAGGCCACATCACATACAGTATTGACACGCAGGTCATTGAAGTCGTCATTGGAGAAATGCTGTGGGATCCCCGAGGACGTAAAAACTCTCACAAAAAATGCGATGCACAATTTTACTCTGAAGATCCGTTAGGTGACTACGCGGTCACCATTAAGACGCCTACGGAATATAGGCTGGCGATAAAGCACGTCGGTATCGGTATCAACATGAAGCAGACCCCATTGGCAATTCAAGCTGCCAAGGAGGTGACCAACGTGTCCAAGCTCACCGGTATGATCCAAGCCAAGGCCATCGCGTTTGTCCGCGTGCAATGTGCCGCCAACTCTAAGACCATTGCCAATGTTCTCAGGCTGATCTGGGCGTTTTCAATCGGCCTAAAGCATTTATGTGGTGGAGTGGATTCTCAAACGACGTGAGAGAACCACAAACACACACAGCGCCGGACTGCCGACTTACGGAGGGGGTACCGCGATACCGTGTCGTGTTGGCCTTGGGTCTCACCTTGTGTACCCGTCGGCTTGGCTGGTCTTGCTCCTCGTTAGACGCAGAAGACTAAAAGACTTGGTCCTTGTATGGAGGGACTTGGGGGCCACGAGTGGATATGCTTCACTCGAGCCCAGGGTTTCTTGGGCTCAATCGACTGGGTCGAGAGCAGTGCACCTGGTACTATGTACCCCTTCGGTGGCTAACGGTTTCTTGGTCTTTCGACCCCTTTTCTTGTTCCCCGCAGGGAAACCGCTTCCTATAGCGGGTCGTAGAATGGGTACGAACCCACAGGCCAAAATACTTCCTGGGGTTCGTTCGAGCTTGAATCTTACCACACGTCTGTCTTCAACGGGGGGGGGGGCAAAATAAATCCCTTCCCCGGAACAGGTGGGTAGATCGAAACAAGCTCGCACTTGAGTCTTGACACTAACTTGACACCTCAGGCCAACTATCCTGAGGTTCGACTTGCGTTGCTTGAGCCGTCACCTCACCTGACGTCGGTGGGCCAAAGGGTATCCCGCCCGGAATAGGTGAGGTGACGGAGAAGCTTGAAGGAAGCTCTTGGAGCTGCCACGTGTAATGCAAATTCGAGTGTGTTTATTTATCTTATACCTTGTATGCTTTTCTTGCCTAACCCTAACCCTTTGACCTGGAAAGTGCCACGTGCCGAATCTTGGAGGAAGGGCTGACTCCTTGGTACCCTGTACTTTCTGTAATCTTCGATATCCTTTGTACCGGTTCTGCACCCTCGGACATTGGGCCCTGGTACCCCTGGGCCTCGATACCCTGGGCCCCGGCACCCTGGTACCCCTAGGCCCCGGTACCCTGGTACCTTTAGGCCCCTGGGCCCCGGCACCCTGGTACCCCTAGGCCCCTGGGCCCCTGTTACCTGGGGTTCCACCTGTCACGGGGGGTCCACCTGTCACCTGACCTGGGGTCCACCTGTCACCTGGGGTCCACTGGCCACCTGGGTCCACCGTTCACCTGGGTCCACCGTTCACCTGGGTCCAACAGTCACCTGGGTCCACCTATCGCCTGGGGTCCACTGGTCACCTGGGTCCACCGGTCACCTGGGTCATCCTGTCACCTGGGGTCCACCGGTCACCTGGGTCCACTTGTTGTCTGGGACCCACCTGTTACCTGGGGTCCACCTAAGCTGCCCTAGCAGCACTAGTCCTTTGTTCTGTAGTGTAGGACATCCTAGTACCTTCTCCGAACTCGGGACCTTGGACCAGTTCGGGGCCCTGGTCACTCCCTGTCACTCATTCAAGAGAGTGACCGAGATCTTTCACGCCAGTTATCATAATAAATACGAAGGGCCCCCCATTTCTCTGGCACTTCTCCACAGCTGTCCCCTGCGCGCTGGTCTTCCGAACTGTGGAAAGACCCCGTGCATCCTTGTCCCGTCTCCTCAACATATAAGTAGGTGTCCATGTGCTTGACGATCTTTCGTATTCACCAACTCACCCACCCTTTATTTACCAGTGACCTCTTCCAGTTCTTTCTCCGACGAACCCCCAGCACCTGGCTGTTTGTCTACTCCTCCACTGCCTGGACCTGACCCTGCCTTGGTTATTCCGACTGTAGACCTTGTCGGGGAGCCCCCCGATTATGCGAGTGTTACCCGGGCGTGGGAAGCGATCCAGCTGGCGATGTAACGAGCCCAAGTTATGGAGACCCTTGCTGACAATCATAGGACCCTCCAGCAGGCCTATCAGGCTGAGCATCGCCGGGCCCAAGACTTGCAGAGTCGCGTGGACGAGGTCGTTCGATTTGGAAAAGTTGATCTTCCCCGGATCGAGGCTCGAATTCGGAAGCTCGTCCGCGATCATGAAACCGACCAGCTAACCATTGCGGAATACCGAGATGCGCTTGCCACCCGGAAGGATTATCGCCTTGAAGTTGAAGCGTCTCGGTCCAAGATTCGGTACTGGAGGGGCCAGTATGAGGCCACGGTGACGAGCTTCACACTCCAGATAGAAGAGCTGGAGGCCAAGTTGGATACCACCACGGCCGATCTTCGGTCCACTGTATCTCAAGTGTCACTACTTCGAGATGAGCTGGCCCGCTCTAAATCCCTCGTGAAGCAAGTCGCCTGCCAACGGGGCCAACTCCAGAAACAGCTGGCCGTAGCTCGGAGCGTCGCGGATAGATCTGCCTCGCCTAAGACTAAGGTCACAGGACCTTCCAGGGCTAAAAGATCTAGGTCTCCTACTGCCGAAGTTTCAGCCCCTTCCTCATCGAAGAAGCGTCGGACCTCCCGTGCCCCAAGTTTCCCTGAAGACGAGTCCAGTAGCAGCGATGAGTCTCTGCTAGCGGCGATGGCTCGGTCACGTGCCTCTCGTCGTCGTGGTAGCCCGGTGACTTCCGTGGGGATACCCGCTCCAGAGGTGGTGGACTTATCTCGTAAAACGACATCCGGCCCTTCTTCGACGTCCGTGGGATCTACTGGGACACCCAAGTCCGGTCCTCTCCCAACATCGACGGAGTCCAAACCGGTGGGATCCACTGGGAGACCAAATGTCAAGCCTCTTCCTAAACCGGCGGGGTCCACTGGGAAACCAACGAAACCGGCGGGGTCCACCGGGAAACCAACGTCCAAGCCTCTTCCAAAAACGGCGGGGTCCACTGGGAAACCAATGAAACCGGCGGGGTCCACCGGGAAACCAACGTCCAAGCCTCTTCCAAAAACGGCGGGGTCCACTGGGAAACCAATGAAACCGGCGGGGTCCACTGGGAAACCAACGTCCAAGCCTCTTCCTAAACCGGCGGGGTCCACTGGGAAACCAATGGCCAAGCCTCCTCCCGAAGTACAGACGTCACCTGCTGCTTCTTCCAGCTCGGAAAAGACGCCCACGCCTCATTCCGACCTGTTCATCCAGCTTTTCGGTCCTTCTGAGTCCGATACTGAGAGTCTCGACTCTGATGATCAAGGGGTGCCAGCATCCAAAGGTCCCGCTGGTTCCAGCGCCTGGGGCCCATCCATTCCGGGATACGCCCAGCCCAGTGTGTTCAAGACCGAAGACGTTGCCCCATGGCCCGTCTCTATGGTGAGCCCCCTTGCGATCTCGCAATTAAGCGTGAAAGACCTGTGGTCCCGCATAACCCTTCCAGCTTCGTGGATGGGTCCGGGACCCCCTTTAGACAAGAAATCCAAGGACCGCCTGGGCGAGACTAGTAGTCTCGTAACGGAGTCTCAGATCCGGCTGTTGATGAACTCGCGCCCATGGGAGCAGCAGACGATGTCTGAGTATCCTCTCTCGTTCCCCGTAAACGGCTGGTTTGTTGGACTGGTGGAGCTCCACGATGCCTACGTAGACGCATCACGCCAGAGTTTGTGGGAGGACCGGCACCGTCTTCATTTCTCCATAGCTCTTCGTTCCGGCAGTGCGTACATCTCCCTCATTTACAACGCCAGGAAAAAACGACGGGCCAAGGCGACACAGGCTTGGATGGGAGTGCTGAAGAAGGTCCTGCAGGGGATGGTAGCAGGTCACTGTGACTTGGACATCCTGCTGGACCCCTTCTTCCAGCCCGTTACCCCCACGCGTCAACTGTCTTACTGGGCCCCAAGGGTCAACCAGGAGAGTTCTCAACCGGGGCTTATGGAGGCGTTGCAGGTGGTGGATGATGTCGAACCGTGGCGCATCTTTTACCACAAGAACATCCACGAGCATCCCTCTTTCGGGGTTCCCCGTCTCCATGGCAAGTTTTCTCCACCCGACACCGCCTGAGGGTTATCACTAGCTTTAAGTGCATCCTTAATAAGCTGAGATAATGCCATTTTACCTCGAAATCCCTAGCACATTCTCGATTTTCCTCTTTGGTGCCATATCTTAGGTAGGTAGTCCCTCGGTGTCCTCTACAGGTTAGCAATACTTCACTCTTTTGTTCTGCTGCACTTCTCGAATACATGACTTGACCAATTTCTGTGCATGCAACAAATACCACCTCCTTCTTGCATCGTCTTGGCCTTCCCAAGACAAACTCTCCCCTCTACTCCTCATGGCTCTGCATCACCTCAAAACGATTCCGAGTGACTTGCCTGCGTTCGTAGTCCTCCAGTAGTCCACCGCAATTGAGGTCCACCTCGTCTACCCACGACGGATCGGAGTATCCTTTCCACTGCACCAGGTATTCACATTGAATACGACCATACCGAGTTTTTCTTCCCATGCGCTTGTCAAGAATCATCTCCACTTCATACTCATTGTCTTCCAATTCTGCATCCCAGCTATCCTCTGGTAGCAGGGCTTCGTCAAAATCCACTCGATCTGTTTCGTCCACCACCAACACCGTATTTGGTCTGTCGGGATATTGCCGAACTAGCTTCAACTTCGAAAGGTGGACCAACGGGTAAATGCGGTAATCGGTCCCACTGATATCCAGGCGAGCTGCATGGTCCCCCACCATCTCTCGTACTCGGAATGGACCATGCCATAGGTGGGCCAATTTTCGGGCATAGCCTTCCTTGACCCGGTCTAGATACAACCACACCTGAGATTCTGCCTCAATCATGCTATCCGTCACCTCTTCATTGTGGATCTCGGCTCGACTTTCCATTGCTGATCGCAATAACTCGTTGAATTGTTCCCTTGCCCGGCGATACTGTCGCTGTACGCCATATCGCCACCGGCGGGGGTCACAGTCACGCCGCCTGGTACACCCAGCGGTATAGTGGCCTCCAACGTGCTTCGTGCGTCCCAACCATGCACCAGGTAGAACGGAGTCTCTTTTCGGACCCGGTCCTGCGCCGTGTTCAGCGCAAATGTGAGCCGTTCCGCATATGTATCCCAATCTCTTTGGTCCACCTCCGACACATACTTCTTGATAGCTCGGGTGATCGTCTGTACCATCCTTTCCGCAGTTCCATTGGCCTGCGGCCGGTAGGCCATTGTGGCCCGCTGCTTTTGCCCAATCATGCGGTTGA